TGGGCTTGGCTCGGCTTTTTTGCATGAAGCCCGTTCAGAAATCCCTATAATAAGACCGAACATGGCATATATCATTATTTTATTAGAAATGTAGGTACAATATATATTTAAAATATCCCAAACAATCATTATTTTAATAAAAAAGGCACTAGGTAGGGTCGGGATGGGCTCGGGCTCAACTTTTTTGCTTGAAGCCCGTTCGGAAATCCCGATAATAAGCACGAACATGGCATAGATCATTGTTTTATTAGAAATGTAGGTATAATATATATTTGAAATATCCCAAACAATCATTATTTTAATAAAAAAGGCACTAGGTCGGGCCAGGATGGGCTCTGGTTTGGGTTTTCGAGGTCAGGCTTTACAAAGGCCGACCCTAACCAAGCCCGGCCAAAGAATGCCCAGTTTTACGTGTTGGAGATGCTGCCCTGGTTTATGTGTTGGAGATGCTTTAGGCTAGCCGTAGTGGTAATATCTTGAACGGTATCATAATAACAAACATGCTGATGTGACAGAGAATTAACGTATCGGCTTATTTATGTGCGAAACAAGCATCCGTAAGGCACTTGTGAACTGTCTTAAATTATTTTTTGGACAATGAACTGCCTTAAATTTGATTGTACTCCTGATGTTGATAAATCAGTGAGGCTTTTTCATGGCTCACACGCAAACAAAACTTGATTGGGCTCTCAAGACAGTAGCTGGCCATGAAAACGATGCACCATCATGGCATCATCACACGACCGTGATCGGGACACTTGCTGGCGAAAAGGCAGACACGCTTTTCGTACCCATCGTCGATGCATGTCGACGGCCACTCACCAGCCACCCGCAATCGAATCAACTGGCGAGATTCCTTCTGGCCCTCCATCTCCAGTGAAGCAACAGCAGTAGAACAGCAAACTTGGTTGGATGAAATCCAGCCCGGTAAAAACTGTCAAGACAGTCAGTGAAGACGATGGAGCCCGGGAAATCACGCAAGCGTGTGGGCCGTCGTTGCCGACAACAGCACCCGGCGATCGACGGCAGTGGCAGCAGTGCAACAGCAATGCCGGAGATCCACTGATAATGCAGCTACAGTAGACGGGAGAAGCCAGCCATGGAACGGGATGGACGGAGGCCGTGAGCTCGCCGGTCACCAGTGCTGGCTGCCACATCATGACTGACTCTGCTTTCACTTGCCTCCCTCGACGGCCAGGGAGGGGAGAGGAGCTGCTCCGTCGCTCTCGCCCCTGCTCCGGGTGAGCCGTGCGTGGGCATGCTGTCCCACTCCCACCGTACACGCGTGCGGTCCACGGGGTCGCCTGGTGGCGGATGCTGACTCGGGTCGCCTCGGCCGAGCACGTCGCACGTTCTTTTCTTTTTTTCTTTTCTGATTGATAGTGAAACGGGCACGTTCTCTTTTTCTTTCTCTTTTCTGATTGACAGTGAAACGGGCAGGAGAGGTTCCAAACAGTGAGCCGGTCGAAAAAGATGTGTCTTTTTCGACCTTTTTGGAAATGCCGGCGTCGACGATGGAGCCGCTTGCTGCAAACAGTGAGCCGGTCGTGGACGCATCACCCTACGGAGAAGATGGTCGACTTGTGCTGACTAGACTACTCAGCTTACTCCCTTCCCAATTTACGACGCGTCTTTTTCATTTTAAATTTGAAACATCTACTCGTAGATATGTGCTCGCACGTTTGTTTGTTGCATGCATATATAAACACGCGCTGCAGTAGACGCGATGTTCCGCGTGGCGATTTTACAGAGAAGAGAAACCTACTGCATGCAACACGCATGCGATCGACCCGGTGCCAGTTGCATGCAACACTGCATCTGCATGAACATGATTGCTCCATGGACGACAGAGGTATCTTCTGTCTGTGACTGTGGGGTTGGTGGGGAGGGCAAGGAGGAGCCCATGGATGAAAGGGACATCAACGGCGGAGAGGCTAATTCATCTGTAGCTTCACCTTGATATTATGGCATCCAGTGACCACGCTCTTCATACAAACAGATCTGCTGCTGTTTTGCTGGGGGTCTCCGTCGTCTTTGCAGCTATAGAGCTGTGAGATTCTATTCCTCTGTGCAAAGGCAGGCAGGGATGTCCTATTCCTCTGTGCTGCTAGATCTACTAGTTCCTGATACTTCGGGAGGTTCAGGTGGTGTGTAGTCTGTTCTAGCCAGTCAGACTGCTTGGGGCGACCCCTTTTATATAAAAGAAGAAAGATAAAAAGAACCAAACAGACCACAAATTGACCGGTGAAGACGAAGCCCGTTCTACGTTGTGCTGCTCACAAAAATTCATTTGTCAAGTGTTTTCTTTTCGGAATTCACTAGGTACGACATTTAGTTACGGGAGCCACCCAACTGTACTTTGATTACGTCAGGTGCGTATAAGGGCATGGTCAATGCATAGCACTAGGGTGATGCCCTGTAGGTCATGTAGGATCGGTTATCAGGAAAAGTACGTTCGGATGGTGTATCGGGATTCTCGGCATGAGGCGGCTGCTTAGGAAGAAAAAGTGCGGTCAGATGCATAAAGTTGAAAAGGTTAAAGTGGAGAGTAGGGATGTATGTGTGATGGGAGTCTACTTTCTGTTCTTTGACGTGTTTCCCTTCTGAAATACATCATTATTGCTTTCTCCAAAAAATACAAAATACAAGGATTGCATATAAAATGAATAAGAAATTAGACAACTTGAACTTGAAAGAGTCACTTATATTTGGTGGCAGGCATCCATGCCCTTTTAATTCACCCGCAACTGATTTACAAGTGACCAACATCATCTAATTCATCTTACTAAAACCAAAACCAGGACAAGGAACATAAATCAAGATGATAGGTAGACTAGCTGGTGCTCCACCGCTGTCTGTCCAAGAGAAAAGGAAGCCACCGACCGAGCAAACAGTCCATAACTTTCTGTAAGTGATGATTAGTCTAATCGAGGACTAACAAGTCTTCGTCTGTGAATATCCGGTTGTACGACGAATCCATGTCGTGCACGACGAGCTTCTCAGCGGTGATGCTGGCGCCGGTGGCATTGTTGAACAGGTAGACCCCCGCCGCCGCGTAAATGGCCTCCGTCGGGTAGGCCCTTGACGTCGCCGTCATCCTCCCGCCCATCACGAAGCTCTGCACGATGGAGTGGTCCACGAGCACCCTAACGGAAAAATCCTCGCCGTCGAGCACCGGTACCGTGCTACCCACCACCTCCTTCGCCACATCGGTAGCATGTGTCGACCGCAACTCATCGTGGCAGAAGTGCGTTCGAAGACCACCGTCGAGGCCCTTGGACACATAAAAGTACACCGCCGTCTGTTCTGTCAGGGCGACGTTGGCGAGAACGAGAATGCCGAAGGGGCCGAGTGCGCCACGGGTGGCGGAGCCGCTGGTCATGGTGCAGTTGTAGCCGACGTCGACCTCGTTGAGTGCCTCAATGGTGGAGGCGTTGATGCGGAAGGATGCCTCGATGTCGAGTTGGGAGGTCTGGTGGAGAGGGAGGGAGACGACGGATCCAGCACCGACAGTGATGCCGCTAAGATCGGTGGTGTTGATGCGGAGGGTATCGATCTCCTCCACCGGCCATTGGATGAGGTTCGTCCGGGTCTTCTCGTCAAGCTTCACCGTTCTCGGAATCGACTGCATGCACAACACACACACTCAATGTCGAGAGTCGGAATAGTGCTGCACGCACTGTTGTTACTGGCCCAACAAGCATCTACCACATCCAGCATGCAAAATCAACGGTGCAGCAAATGACCGACCAATAGTGATAATTGTAAGGTAAAACAGTCATGTCCATGATGGTTACCTGGAGGTTGGCCCACCCCTTGGCGGCGTCGGCGCTCCAGGAGTCGGTCTCGACGACGTACCCCCACACGATCCGCCGCTGCTTCACGGGGTCGTAGAAGGACTTGGACGCGTCGTACCTTCCATAGTCGTACCGCAGCGCGACGCCGAGTTCCCGCTCGGTGTCGATCGGCGTCCATGTGTTGGCCGCCGCGTCGAACCTCCCGAGCGCGTAATAGTCGCGCCGGTCGTCGTCGCTGCTCTCCTTGAGCACGTACAGCACGTCCTCGGCCGTCGAATTGTACATGTCACTGGCGGCGCGACCGCCGCCCACGGCAAATAGATCGATGCACTCGTACATGCCGGTGCCGGCGGGGCCACGGTACAAGTATCCCGGTATCAGCTCGTAGCTGACGAAGTCTTTGGTCTTGTACGTGAAGACGATGCCGGAGTGGTCGGTGTCGTTCTTGGAGCCAATGATGATGCGCCACGTGTTGTCGGAGTTGTCGAACCATGCCGTGGTTGGGTCACGGTAGTCCTTCATGCCGATGCCAGGGGGCGGGTACACGACGGGATTGGCGGGGTGCTTGACCCACTCGCGGAGGAGGGGGTCGCTTGGGTCGGCGGCCTCCGCGAGGCAGGTCACCTGCGCGAACGTCTCGGTGTTCCCTGTGTAGAGCAGGATGACCCTGCCGTCGGGGAGCACGGTGATGGATCCGGTGAGGACACCCTCGATGTCGTACCAGTACTCGGGCACCATGGCGAGCGGTAGGTGACGCCAGTGGACCATGTCTCGCGACACGGCATGGCCCCATGAAATGTTGCCCCACCCGGTGCCCCCCGGGTTGTGCTGGTAGAAGAAGTGGTACCATCCTTTGTAGTACACCGGACCTGCAGTGGATAATACATTTCAGCGAAAGTGCTCTTCTAATCCTGAGCTTATATGCATCAGGATGAACATTAAAATCCAAAAAATATAAAAAAACAAAAAAAAACAGTTCTTTTTTGTGATAAATATCGACGTGAAAAATTTCTTGATGAAAGGACATTTGTGGAGGCCTGACAAAAAAATGCACCACGAAATTTCGTATGGAGGTAAAACATTTATCTATGTTCATAGAAAACATTTGTTGTTTTTACAACTTTTTTTTAAAAGCACTGTTCATCCGGGTGCAATTAGAAACTCTGTCTGAATCTCAGATAATATATTCCGCACAGGTCACAAAACTTCTGAATAGGAATACTCGATTGGGAGGATTTGTTAGTAACTAACCGTTGGGATCTGCACGGATGTCGCCGGAGAATGCCGCCGCCGGCGAGCAAACAGGAAGCAAGGGCAACGAGGTCAGTTTCTGAATCAAAGTAACCACGCCGGAGAAAACATAACGGAGTCTGAATCTGAAAATTTAATCGAACGGAGAATGAACTGGGACGGTACCGTTCTGGTAGTTCTTCTCCGGCTGGAAATGGTAGCCGGTGCGCTGCCACTGCAGCATGGCGTTGCTCCACGGGAAGCCGCCGCTGGCGGAGTATGGCCCGGACGCCTTCTCCAGCACGCCATGTTCCGCTGTAGCCGGTACGGAGGAGGCCACCGCGTCCCGGTCGACCCTGCTGGCCCCAAAGACCGCGGCGGCGACGACGAGCGCCCCCACGGCCAGCACGGCGGCCCACGCGCGCCACCTCACGCCGCCGGTGATCCGCCGGTCCTCCTGGCCGTTGGCCTCGGTTAAGGAGGAGGGCAGCGGCTCGTACGCGTAGGACAGCGGCGGCGTGCCGGGGATGAGGATGCCGCGTGACGACTCCATGGCGCCGCCGGGCCGCTCGCCAGGAGAATCCCGTGGGAATTTGGTGGGTTCACTCTCACCGACGGATGGGTGGATGGTGGGTTCAGTGGGGGAGCGAGGGAGATTTTATACAGTACTTCAGCTATTTTTTTATGACAAGGGGGAGGTTTATAGCTGGGGTTTGGGTGTAAAGATGAGAATTTTAATGGTGGAAACACCTCACGCTTAGATTAGTTGCACACATGCTTTTTGTTCTTGTGTTAATGGTAATGAGAAGGGATTGCTCTTGGCAATACTTAGAGCATATCTAGACGTGATTCAACAAAATTGAAAAAGTAAATTTAGAAACAAGACGACGGCAAGATCACATTGGCTTTTAGTCAAGGAAGGGAACCAAGGAAAGAAACCAACTTTTATGACATGTGTTTAAAAGCAAGTTCCATGCTTTCGAAAATGACGACTTTCTAGAGCATTTCTTTTTATTTTATTTTTAGGGTGTAAACCTAATGTTTCTTTTATAGGATTTGCCAACTCACCTGCCTTTTGCAGATTGTGTGTCCCAAAGATTATCGCCGAGTTTGTTAAGAAGGAAACAATGGTTGTTTGTAGAAGGGAGTGCGTGTACTCTGTTGGCCCGTCCGAAGAGCTACCATTGTAGTGCTGGACAATCCTATAGTCAGGGCAATAAGCCACCGTGAGAAAATGGGTGGACGATAGCGTGGGTCTATTTCCCGATTTTGTCGTCACATAAGATTTTGTTGAAGAGGTTATGATCAAGTACATTGATTTTTGTTCTACAAAGTTTTTCAGTTTTAGTTTCATACCTTATATATTACAATCAAATCAAATCATATAATTTTCACACCGCATTTATTAAAATATCAGTACCATACAAACTAAAAAACACCATATAAGCGGACCAACATGTGGTTGGATGGTTAAAAGAACACTGTCATCCTCAGCCCACCAGGGTTTAAGTTCTGGTGCTCATCTATACTGAATTTATTTCAGAATTTCCGGCGATGCACGTTTAGTGAAAGGAGACGTTCCCGTCGACTATGAGGTTCCTATGATGACTTCGTAAAATCTGAAGTTGATATGCCGGCTCAGTCTTCTCAGAGGTGCTCATAAAGATAGAGTGTATATGTACACGTTCATAGGAGTGAGTATATGCACGTATATATATGAGCGTTTGCGTCTGTACTTGTTAAAACACACACACCATATAAACGGAATGTACAGAGTTAAAAAAAAAACACATGTGAAGGGCCATGGTTACTTTTCGTACCCATCGGATACATGCCGACGGCCACCAACCGGGATTAAAATGGCGAGATTCAGTGCGTGCGTGCTCCAATCACGTAGCAGCAGCAGCAGCAGCACATGTGGAGCAGCACAATGCCGAGAGATCCAAACAAAATCAGCAACAATAATGCAGCCACGGTAAAGCAGAGGAAGCACAGCCATGGAATGGAGTCGACGGAGCCCGTGAGCTCACTCGTCGCGCGCATGCTGGCTGAGTGGGCTTTCGCTTCCTTCGTTTCACAGCACACCGTACACGTGTGCGGTCCACGGTGTCACATAGTGGCCGACGCTGACTCGACTGTGGCACGGCCGAGCATATCATCTCTGAACCAAGCTTTCTCCTCGTTTTATACGTAAAGCAACAATCGAACAAAGAACTTAGTCGAACGGTTACAAAAATGATGAGGTAGCTCTCGTACAACTCCGATCCATGATAGCCGGATCACGCAGGCCGCACACTACGCTACCGAAAGAGAGCACAGAAAGAATTGAGTACAACACCACGTTACGTCCTATAAAACCTAAGCTCCACGACAACGTCCCTAGAAGGGAGAACGACACAGAATGTTGGTACTTGTGATAGTGTTGGGATTGCCCCCAAAAGAAAGATTGATGTAGTTTGCCATCCAACACGGATCCCTATTTATTTGCGGACGCATCCTGTGTCCGTTTTCCTACAAATCAGACACAAACCAGGGGGAGGTATGAGGGCGTTCGGACCAGATGATGGAGGAGGTGTCCGACGACTTCCGTGCTGACTTCATCATGGAGTAGGTGCATGTGCTTCAATGACGTCATGCTAGAGGAGAGGTTGGTGCCACCGGTGTCGTTGTCCTGGCTGGCGTGGAAAGACCAATGCTAAGACCTCACCCTCCTTGCGCATCACCGGCTAGCAAAGGGGCAAATCCACAGCAAGTTCACGAGCGAGGAGGTCTTGAAAGACATGGTCATGGAGGACTAAAAGTTCGTCGAGCAACAACGAGCGTTGTATGAGGCCGCACGCAACGCTCGCTCCAACACGGTCGTGGCGGAGGCTGACGTAGAGGTGGTGCGGGTGATCATGGATGGGAACGTGGGCAGCTCTTCCTCGTCCACGTCGGGCTGCGAAGATCATGAGGCTGGCCCATCCATGTCGATCATGGTCTTACCTCACTGGTGACGTCCACACGGCAGACTCCGGCAAGGAAGAGTCGGAGGGGGATACGACGTTGGCACATCCGATGTCCCATGTCCTACTGCTCCCCTCCCAGCGGCCTGCAGCTTCACTTCTTGAACCTCGTGAAGGTTGAGCTCGTTGGAAATGGGGAAGACAGGAAGTGGAACACGGTTACCTCCACAGACGGCAAAGATGTAGACTAGGTTTTGCTATATCTAAAAAATGTCATGTTCGTTTCTGTTTAATGAAATATGTCAACAATGTCATGAATTCGGTGTGATTTAAATGAAAATCGCCCGGTTTGCATGAAGTTTGTCTAATTTGTTCAAATTTTATTTGAAATGTGTCCGGACGATTGATAGATAGGGTTAGATGGCTGGCTTTCGTATCATTGCCCACAGATGCATCTGGACATGTCCGCGGACAGAAACTATGTGTCTTTTAATGATAATGTTGGAGATGCACTTACACTATATAAACCAGAAAATGTATACGCCCTTTTCTCAACAACAAAGAAATTGTATACATCCAACAAACCGGGAAGGGGGGCTGTCATGGTAGGCCCTTCAACCACCAATGAGGTAATTAAACGATACATACTACATTTTTAAAGAATTATAGGCGTGTACAAGCATATATATATAGGCCCTTGATAGCAGCACAAGTATATACCCACATGCTAATTACATTTTGTTTATTATTATATGACGGTCAGTTGATTTGCTTCTCTACTGCATCGGTAGGGAAGAAGACAGTGCATCTCCATCTGCATGATTGAGCTGGAGACCATGGTTCCATGGACGATGGCTCCACGAACAACAGAGGTCGGTGGGGAAGGGGGAGGAGCCCATCGATGAAAGCAACAGGGACAGCGGAGAGGCTAAGGTTGGTAGGGAGGAGGAGGAGCCCATGGATGAAAGCAACATCAACAACGGAGATGCTAATTATTCTGTAGCTTGCCACGGAGATGCTTCAGTCATGGCATCAAGTGATCACACTTCTGTAAAACAAAACCACAAATTGACGTGTGAGGAAGATTCCTATGAGGCGCTGCTCACCTAAATACGTTTGGCAATTATTTTCTTTTCCAAATGAGTTAAGGTTTTTTTATTGGAACCTGCTTAACCAGCGAACGTTCACTGGGGGATGGAGAATGCGAAGTTTTCTGTGGAAATTTCTTCTGAACATGCATGGTACTTTGTTTAAAAATACATGGCAAATTCTGGCAAAAAAGGATTCACTTCAAAAATTGATGTGTTCGCCTGACGGAATTGACATACTAATGACAACGTAAATTGCCGTAAAAAATGTTGTCGGGAGTATGTCAACATACTCTGAAGGATTGACATACTTCCCAGTGAACGTTCGATGAATAGCATTACCATTTTATAAGGCACTACAAAGCTAAACTTAGGACCCCCACTTAGATGATGCATAATAAGGCACTACAAAAGCTAAACTTAGGACCCCTGCTTCGCTCTCCCAGGAGTGGCTTGGCCAGAGCCCAGATCAGTAGCGGCCTCCTCTCCACACATGCTTCCCTCCCCTTGCCACCACTAGAGGGCACCGCCGGGCAAATTCTGGACGGCGTCGACGCTGGGGGGCGCAACGGCGGCTGCTCTTGGCAGTAGAGTGGTGTGAGGTGGCATGCAGTCATGCATGGAGGCACGACAGGGGTGCTTCACAGATGCATGACACAGGCGTGTAGGCGCCCAGTCACCGTGGAACTGGCGCAACGCGGCGAGGGCAAGTCGCAGGTGAGCGACGCGGACGCACAACGGGCTCGGATGTTGTGGATCTGGTGTCGAGCGGTCGCGCAGTGGCATGGGGTGGAGCTGCAGCTTGGGTTGCGCGGCTCGGTGGTCCGGCCCGGCAAGGAAGAGTGCCGCCATGCTGCGGGTAAAACGGATTTGATTTGCGTTGGTTGCCGTGTCGTGCATGGGGCGCACTAACCATTTAGATGTTTGGTTATAGCCTGGATCCATGGTGGTTCTTGGCTTTGAGCAGCCCTCCCTTGTCACTCACTGGCATGGTGCTCGACAGGGCACGACGGCTCGCCTTGATGGATCTGGCGCCTCATGGTGGATTTTGGCAACAGGTGGTCTCCGCGAGGTGTTGTTGTTTGCGGCAGATGTCAGTGCTTCTTCATCGTTTTGCTGTGAGGTGAGACGGTTCGTTCGGTGATCTTTCGTGGCATCAGTCTTGCGTAGTTCTCCTTCGAAATAATCCATCAAAGACGCTACACTGTCCTGTCGCATTTCGCTCAGTTCTGGCATGGATCTTCATTTTTTTTGGCGTGGATCTTCATTTGACTCCACATGATTTCTATAGTATGGGTTTGGTCA